TTCCTCCCCCTTGTTTTTACAAGGGAATTACTTCTTTTAGTTACCATATTGTTGATGTGCGCAATGTGGCCTTGTTATTATATTTTCGTTGATTATGATAAAGTTCAGTTAGTGGAATTCCTTGACTAAAGCAAGTTCTGGATGCTATTGTTGTTGGTTTGGATATGCTGATAAAGAGATTCGGAGATACCAAAGCAAAGCAACGTCTGTGTCTAATCACCGACGCACAACATCTGCTAAGGGATCCGCCCCAAGGGACAAAAGAAGATCAGGTGGACACTATTGCAGACCAGATGAAAAAACATGATATTAAGATGGACTGCATTGTTTTCAGGGAATCTGGGGTTCAACACAATTCTGTAATGGATGAAAATGACCGATTATTATATCAATTCAGAGATAGGTCCGTGGCAAAGGTAGTCCAGGTTGACACCCCGACAGCACTCTTAGGTGCTCTCAAGACAAGAAATGTACTCCCAGTTACTATCTTCAGGGGAGACCTGGAAGTGAGCTCCACTTTTAAAATCAAGGTGAGATGTTTAAAAATTCGTACAATATTTCTGTCAGTTAAACAAAGTCTACAGTAGTCAAATATTACTGATTCAGTTTGCAGTTTAGTTTGACATCGCTATCTCATTAGTGTTCCAGTTGGTTGACAACGGTGTTTCTACTTGATGCCTTGTGAACAGGTGTGGGCCTATAAGAAAACATCTGAGGAGAAATTCCCCACTTTGAAGAAGTATTCTGATAAGGCTCCTCCAAGTGATCAGTTTGCCTCGCATGAAGTCAAAGTGGATTATGAGTACAAAAGCATTCTAGAACCAGACACAGTTGTTCCACCAGATCAAAGAATCAAGGGCTATCTTTATGGTCCTCAAGTTGTTCCTATATCATCTGCTGAGTGGGAGGCTGTGAAGTTCAAGCCAGAGAAAGGTGTGAAGCTTCTAGGTTTTGCAGATAGATCCAGCATACCACGGTATATTGGATATCCTTCAACTTGGCATCTGGCATTATATCTATTAAGCTTCAGCATTATTGTTATCTTTGAAACTAATGAGTTCGATACACCTAGTCCTTCAGTTGTACTATTTTGCCAGTTAATAAGCTGAAACTTTTCCTTGTTCCTTTATATGCCATCGTTTTGAGGCATAGAAATTGCAACCATTTTACCACGTGCATTGTGATGGGGGCATAAATATTCTAGTAGGTTATCCCATGATTCACCTGCCCATGTTAATGTGTTTGTATAAAAAAGTAGGATTATATTTGGTAAGCACTTATGGGTTTACCAAAGAAAACATAATTGATGCGGTTTTCAGGCAAAACTGGTGGAAAAAATCAGAGATGTCAGGAAAAAGAATCAAAACGAGAGTAGGTTGGACAAACAAATGGTTGACTGAACTTTATTTTTTTTAAGTATAGGAGAGATTTGCTAGGAGCCTAGAAATACATCCTGTCTTACTACCCTTGCCTCCTTAGTGACCACATATTATAGGAACGTTATTCTTGGCTACAATCGTGAGAACTAATTAATTGGAGGAAACTTCTGCGTTTCTTTCTTTGTTATTCATGATTATTTCAAGTTTCATGATGCCACTTATTTTGAAGACGTTGCAAACCAGCAAATCCATTTTGCTGCTATTGTTGGGTAAGCATCTGGTAAAATCCCAACTTGTGTCCATCTCAGAAAAATTCTCAACTCATCAGTGAGCTGCACACTATCTTTGTTGTATTGCAATTTTAACTTAAAAACCCATATTACTGGTAATTTAAGGCAGTCCCCTTTCTACTTGACAGGTCCTATTTTATGAAAGATGTGAACTCCTTTGTACCTGAACCGGGAAACACAAAAGCAATTGTTGCAGTCTCTGCCTTAGCTAGAGCAATGCAAGAAACGAACAAGGTTGCAATTCTGCGATGTGTGTGGAGGCAAAATCAAGCGAATGTCGCTTTTGGTGTGTTGACACCTAACATCTCATCAGTGAACAATGTGGTATGAACTTCATTTGTAACTCGCAATTGATGGATTTTATGGGTGGCTATTTTTTGAAGCAATTGATGGGTAACTACGAACCTGTTCAAGCAATTGTTTACTGTGTCTTGCAGCCAGATTCCTTTTACTTCAATATACTGCCTTTTGCTGAGGACATCAGAGATTTTCCGTTTCGCTCCTTCAGCAGCCTGCCACCATCATCACAGCCTACTGAAGAACAGCAGGAAGCGGCAGATAACCTAGTGAAGATGTTAGACCTTGCACCACCTGGAAGGGAAGAGATCCTCAGGCCTGATTTCACACCAAATCCCATGTTGGAGGTTGAATACTGCAATTTACTAAAAGAACTATATATTTTTTGTTATTTGTTATTTCTTAGTATATGCCTTTTCCCCTCATCTTGTTTAGTGATGCACACTTGCTATTTTTCAGTTCTGAGGTGGTAGCTTTTTTTCTGGACTGTTAACATATGAAAGTCGATTCTTTTATTCCATATCATTAGTCACCCAAGTTTAATGAACAAGCCAGTACGAGCAATATTAGAACTTTGGGCACAATAAGGTGCAATTTAAAGATGAAAGGTCCTTTGACTAACAAAGAGACTTGAAATACAGTTATCAAATAACCTGTAACAAATATGATACTCCCTCCGATCCAAAATAACTGTCGTGGTTTTAGTTCAAATTTGAACTAAAACCACGACACTTATTTTGGATCGGAGGGAGTAGTTGAATCCTTTGTTCCATATCATTTGTCACCCAAGTTTAATCAACAAGAGAGTATGAGCAATATTCGAACTTTAGGCACAATAAGGTGCAATTTAAAGATGAAAGGTCCTTTGACTAACGAAGAGACTTGAAATACAGTTCTTATCAAATAATCATACATATCTGGAATGTCATTGGGACCTTGTGCATCGGGGTTTACCTATGTTTCGGTGAGCCTATGCTAGCAATTTGCTTTTATCCTTTGCCTTCTCATTTGCTTCTTAGTTGTACTATTTGATGATTGTGTATATATATCTCTTGTTTCATTGACTACGGTTCTGTTGTTCCCCTTCAGAGGTTCTACAGCTACCTTGATCTGAAGTCAAAGCAGCCAGATGCAAATCCACCACCGCTCGATAGCTGTCTAAGGAGGATAACCGAGCCAGATCCTGACGTCATTAATTATCGAGCACCGTTAATCCAAAATTTAGGCAAATCTTTCGAACTGAAGGAGAACCCCAAGGTTAAGTATTGACATTTCGTGTTAAACTTGATTCAGTAATTTGGTACTCAACTTCAACATTAACTTGTCTGATTGATCGCAGAGAAAGAAAGCCCGGACACAGGAGAGATTAGCTTATACTGACCCAGATGATCAAGCTAAAAGTTCAGAAAATAATGCAGAGAAGGCTACGGCGGCAGATGGTCAAGCTAAAAAGCCAGAGGATCCTTATGCAGAGAAGGCTAGGGCGATAGAGGTTCTGTTTCCTTCAACGGAGAAGGTTGGGAAGATTGGAGATGCAAATCCTGTTAAAGATTTTGAAGCCATGCTGGCAGAGAGATCTAGCTCAACATGGGTTCAGAAGGCAATTGAAGAGATGAAGAAGTACACGACCAATTTGGTACAGAATTCTCTTCAAGGAGATTATTACGAAAAGGCACTCGAGTGTTTTGTTGCTCTGCGGAAGGCCTGTATAATCGAACAGGTAACCCTCACTCCCTATGGTTATTTACTTCAGTGTATAGTAGTCAGGTGTAGCATAGCCGCATAGGTCCTATGTTTTATTTAAGAGTAAGAGCATGTGGACATAGTTAATTTAGACATGCCTGGTCAGCACGCATCTAATCTGTCATTTGTTCTTAGGAGCCGGAGGAATATAACCAGTTTGTGATTAAGCTTTATGAGAGACTGAAGAAGGTGAATGATGTGGTGAAATTCTTTCAGCTTCTTTCATCCAAGAATGTTTTGCTTATATGCAAAGAAGAAGCGCCTGACAGGTATGGAAACCCCTACACGTCTCTACTGCAGATAATTCGGTTAACACGATCCTATGCTTCCTATTCTTACCATTAATTTCCCCCATCTATTTGCACGCAGCGATGTGACTGAAGAGATGGCGAGGAGCTTCTTCATGAAAACCGAAATATCCTCTGAGTAGCATGGGTCTGGTTCCTCAAGGCATTGCCAGTAGAAAATTCTAACTGTACCACGGCTCATGGTTCATGTTCTGAAGCTCTGGTCATGATATGGTATCTGATTTGATGGTGTGGCAGACGAGTTGCGATGAACACACTATCATCTAAGATATTGTTTTGGATTCCCAGTATGTATGTTAATTCGCAACCGTCATGAAAGGGAAAATGCTACTAGTGGAATTTAGAAATCCTCTGTTTCTAGTCCCAGGTTGCGACGGCCGTCGTACCCGACGTACCTGTCCTAAATACCATTTTCTTTGGCTGCCAGGATCAATTTTCAGTGATTACCAAGTCACTGAAACAGTAGCATGGGTTTGGGTGGCATTGTCAGTAGAAAATTCTAACATCAGTTTAGCTGTACCGCGATGGTTCATGTTCTGAAGCTTGGTCATGATATGTGATATGATCACATGAGTCGCGACGAACACGCCATTATCAAAGCTCTGTTTTGGAACCCCCAGCATGAATGTAAATTCATGACCGTCGTGAAAGGGGAAATTCTAGTGGAATTTAGAAGGGCAATCTAATCTCAGCATTCAATTTGTTATCTTAGAGTAAACATCCCAGCAGTGTTTAGTGACACCAATAGAGCACATATAACAGTAATCTTTGCCTCAGGGAAGAAGTGCTACCCCCCTCATTTATTCAATCTGGGATAGCATAGCATACACAAAAACAAGCTCTGCATGGAACCCTCTTCCTGGCTAACTAGTTTCAGCCAGTACAACATTTCATATCTGTATTTAGAGTACAACAACAACAAGGTGAGCACCCAAAAAGCTATTCAGGCAGGGACATGGAGGCGGATCCGTGCCGTCGTCGTTCTAAGAATCCTTGTCTGTCACGAGCTTGTCGATGAGAGACGCGGCGTCCTCCACCGTCCTGATCTCCTGGGCGCTCGATTCGTCCACCGTGATGCTGAATGCCTCCTCCAGGCCCATCACGATCTCAACCTGCAACATTGTTTGCAACAGGATCCAGCACTATGTTATGAAGAATACCGAATAACAAATGAAAATGGTTCTATATTATGGAATAATACACAAGAATAGCAATTCATAATTGGTTCTACATTATGGAATAATAACACGCAAGAATAACATATGAATTGGTTTTATATTTTGGAAGAAGACACAAGGCTGTAAAAAAAAGGTCAGATCGAATTCACTGAAGCTAACATGTATGGTGTTGTTTCCAGCTTTTCTAGAGTAGGCTGATGAAGTTGTAGCTCCATGTCACCGGTTAGTCGAGGGGAGGGATTTAGTTACCGTGTCGAGCGAATCGGCGCCGAGGTCGGCGAACTTGGTCTCCCCGCTTACGACGGTGTCCTCGGCGACGGCCAGCTGCTTCTTGACGATCCCGCACACCTTGTCAATGGTGTCCTGCTTGGCCTGTCCAAGGATTTTGGAAACTCAGAGCGGATCTTCAGTGACACATCATCATCAGACAAAGCACTACTAGTTGAGAGCATTCAGAATGAATGAACTTGGTGGGAGATGGATACTCCTTGGAGCATTTTGCTGCGGGGTGCTGCCCGTGCGCTAGCTAGTGCAGGCAGTCATGAGCATGGAGATGGAAGAAGAATGCAGGAGTGTGTGTGTGAGTGTATACCGAGCAAGCCAGGTGGAGGAAGCGCTTCGCCGGAGCCGACCGGATCGAGATCGACGGGAAGCTCTGCTGCCTGGAGAAGCACGCCGTGACGGCCGCGCTCCGGCGGCTGCCGCTGCTGCTGCTTACCTGGAGCCGATGCGCGGGGAGGACGGCCGATCCGGCGGCGGCGAAGAGGGCGGACATGGCGGCTGAATGAGCTAGCTGAGGCACGGCACGATGGAGGTGGGAGCTAGGCTATAGCTAGGTGACGGGAGGAATGAGCCGCGAGCTGCGGGTGCGCGTGTGTTTTATGATGGGGCGGTGGCGGGGACGGCGAGGCCGCCTCGGTTGTATCGACCCACACACACCGGCCTGGCCTGGGCTGGGCTGGCCTAGGGATCACCGTTGTCCGTCCCGTCCCTTCTTGCGATTACCAAACAACGCCGTAGCACGCACCACCCTTGGATTCTTCTTCTTCATGACCTCCCGCACACACGCTTGGCGGCCGGCCGCCGAATGAATGTGTGTACATACGTGTGGTTCACCATGTATGTGCTCGTGTACTCTTCATTCTGGGGCGTGTTTGGTTGCCCGCATCCCGGACGTAATTTTATACCGTTTGATGGTATGCGAGCATTGTTAGGCCTGCATATATAGCACGCTTCTTAAAAGCATCACTTAATTAGCAATAGCCGCCAGGAACGGTCAAATCAACAGTTTTCGCTCAGCAAGACTCTCATCGTGCAAGGAGGGGGGTATGCAGCGCCGAGCTCATGCAAGCAATGAGATGTGTGTGTCCTAGATTTTTTTTCCATGGAG